TTCCCTTCGTCACCACTTCCCTTCTTCACCACTTCCCTTCGTCACTACTTCCCATCGTCACCACTTCCCTTCATCGCCACTTCCCTTCGTCACCACTTCCCTTCTTCACCACTTCCCTTCGTCACCACTTCCCTTCGTCACCACTTCCCTTTCTCACCACTTCCCTTTCTCACCACTTCCCATCGTCACCACTTCCCTTCCTCACCACTTCCCTTCGTCACCGCTTCCCTTCGTCACCACGTCCCTTTCACCACTTCCCATCGTCACCACTTCCCTTCATCACCACTTCCCTTCATCACCACTTCCCTTCCTCACCACTTCCCTTCGTCACCACCCTGTGTCGTAGCTTCTTACTCTTTTGGTATGTATTGTCATGTGATGTACCACCCTTCTTCAAGGTCAATTCCATCAGGTAAAAGTCATTCGTAGCTCGGAAGTATTGCTTCCCAACTTCCTTTGATAATATTCAAAATTTAATACATAATACGTAATACATAATATATAAGATATAAAATATAGTATGTAAGATATAATACCTAAAATACAATATATATAAGATATAATATGTAAAATACCATCAATCGTGTATAATATATTGTATATAATATATAATCTGTGAAATCTAATTTAATTTTTCAAACATATAGTATATATAATTTAGGTTATATATAATATTATATATATAATGTTTTTTAAATGTATAATATATGATATATCATGTAAAATGTATAGCATATAGTTTAAAGTATATTATACAACATATCTGTATACATATATATACCAATATATATATATTATATGTATACATACGTCAATTACCAATCAAGTCCAGCAGGTTTTACATTTTTTGTGCCATTCTCATCCATTCTCCCCATCAGGCTCCAGCAAAGCCTGTGAAGAACACCGTCGCTCTGCCATTGTCGCCGAAAAGGCGGCTGAAAGGCAAAAAGGCGCCAGCAAAGTCGAAAAGTCCATGTAGCTCTTGGACGATAGTTTCTCGCGACAACGTGGCAGGGTATGTCTAACATCTTGGCTAGGCTTTGCAAGGATATCAAGAATCATGTCGTGAAAGGAGACGAACCTTTCAATCCGACCATTTCAATATCCATTTGACAGCTTGCATCAGGTTGGCGCTCGTGTCGACGAAGACGTGCCAAACGAGCGTTTCTTGGTTGCACTTGGAGAGACATCTCAGGTGCCAAACTTCAAAGTCCAGGTAGCCCAACAACGATTTCAACAAATACACCAATCATCAGAGACATTCGAAAGACACTTGCAAAACAGTAGCAAAATCATCTACTTCTTTGTTTTCTTTTGATCTGCTTTGCATTTCTGTAAAAAAACGTCAAATTGTGCTTCCTCAAGAGACCCCGAAACCAAGATGGGGCTGCGGCCGGCAACTCTCCACCAGCCGAGAGGTGACAGGTGCAGACTGTTCCAAGTGACAAGCACGTTCCAACGACGTGCCAACGACGTTCCAATGATGTTCCAACGACGTGCCAACGTCGTGCCAACGCATGTCAGTGATATTACTTCGAATCCAATCCATCCAGCATGCTTTGATTTCTAAGATGCCGGTCCTGAAGGCATTCAAATTTTCAAACAATGCAAAAAAATTGTCTCTTGTTTGCTGCATGTTGAATCTCGCAGGCCATGCAGAAAGGCGGCAAGAGGGTGGGATTTGGATTTAGGAATTGTGAACCTATGATAACCTATGCTACGCATCTTATGGTGAAACGGTGTCGACACAAAAACTGGACACTGCGGTGATTGTCCGAACGACAAGGGTTTGCTGGAGTTTGCTGGAGTTTGACCTTTTCCTCTTGCAGGCTCCATTCCGCCAGATTTCTCCACTGAGAGTGCCACTCCAAAGGAAATTTGGCCATGTACCCAGCCCGCCAGAACAGCCAAAGAAACCGTACTCAGCGAATGATCTTGAAAATGTTGCCTGCATACTCTTGACTTTCTTTTTCCTTCTGAAGTTTCATGCACCTTGATTCTATTGTATCCTTGAATTCAAGATTCAGCACGAAAGCTCAACACTGGAAGCGCATGAGAAGTTTAAAAACGAACTGGTCAACATGGCCAATTTGCAGTGGGTCTGGGACCCATCCTGATCACAGGCTTGGACTACAGCTTCCACCGACTCCCTAATTATAGTACCCATGTTTTATCATATTTCAAATGTCAACGTTCATATTTTTTTCATGTGTTTTCATCGTCGCGGGAGTTTGTCTTGTGTTCAGTTGTAGCTTTCACTGAATCGCACGATCGATGAGGATTTCGATGTTGATTACGGAAAAGGGGCAGTGTTACTGGACAAACATTCTATCAATGTATTGAACATGAATCGGCAACGCTACGCACATATACAAGCACACACACAGACACACGCACACAGACACACATGATCACACATGTATATCTAACATGCATTATAGATTGTGTAGTCTGCAAATATCATGTGCACATCCATCACATTTCGATGCATACATATACTGTATATATATATTATAACCAAGGTTGGCCTATTTAACCAGGGGTTTGTGACGTATCCAAATGGGATCTTGGAAACTATATTGAATTCTTCAGAAACCATATTGAGTTCTTCAGGAACTATTTTGGATTTGGGACAACTATGAGCTGTGACTGTGACTGAGACTTAACTTATGCATCGGAATCTGCACATGATATGTGCATGATACTTGGGAATGCTTTCCTACATCTGAATATTGCATACCGCCACATGGCTAGATACATGTTCCTGGCTTCTGCGCTTCTGAATGGCCGAGCATGCGCGGTTGTACACTCTACTATATTACTCAAAAACTGATAGGTATACTGTAATGATTGTAGCAATATTTTCTTTGAAAAACATGTTATTACTGTTACTATCGTACTAAACGGTTTTTCAATTTGATAACCTGACACCTTTGACAAGTCATAAGTTTGAAATCTGAATCGGAACTAATTTTCCTTTTCAAAACCACCACGTATCAAACCAACTGCAAACGCTGAATTTTACATAATAAGTTGGATGAAATAACCTAACAAATCACAAATTGTGATACGACACGGCCTCGCTGGCAGAATGGGGTACGGAAAGCATTGACGACATACAACGCACAATGACAAGCAACATTTGATCCAAAATTCAACTGGACTGTACCCGCCTGTATCGTGAAGATGCCTCTGTTATTAACTTTTGACCATTCGCGACTGACATCATTGCTGCACGGTTTGTTACGACCTGTGATCTATGTGACATGTGAGGAAGAGCCATGAGCAAGGATGACGATGATGACCATGAGGAGAGGATGAGGATGAGGATGAGGGTGAGAATGAGGACGATGATGATGATGATGATGATGGTGATGCTGATGATGCTGATGATGCTGATGTTGCTGATGTTGCTGCTGCTGCTGATGATGATGATGGTGGTGGTGTGGTGATGTGGTGATGTGGTGATGTGGTGATGTGGATCAAAATTCAAGTTAAGTAAAGGACACAACAGGTCAGATCGGAAGGCCAAAGTTGGAAGTTTAGAGTTTCTAGCTTTCAGAGTCGGCATGGGGCTGTTTTTGCTCACCCCCAACCGCAGAACTGGCGTACCCCATGTGCTGGAAAGTGATGTTTAGATCAAAGTGGGGTGTAGTTGAAGATGTTCAGAGGGCATGCGAATTTGAAGATTGATATTTGCCAGGCAGTTAGTGCATTCCAATATAGCCCGTGAGATTCTCCATACAGTTCCTGAAGTTTTTCCATATAGTTCCTGAGATTTTCCATATAGTTCCTGAGATTTTCCGTATAGTTCCTAGCCAATTTTTTGCAATTTTCAGACCCCAGGAACGGTCGCGACGGTTTCTACGGTTTCTACGGTTCCATTTTTGGGCATTGGAGGGGTATGGTTGACATGTGGCTTTACGGGGCCACAAATTGAGCCGGAAGAGCTTTGAAGAGATCCAGGGATACAGAAGCCGTTTGGGCATGGAAAACCAGATTTGGAATTTGCCTGGTTTTTGGAATCGAGGGGCACGTTGATTTAAGTCACGGGGCCCTCCTTCCCTGTGCTGTTTTTTCCGGGTGACCCCCCACAGCTACACCAAGAACATCGATGATGCATTTCTTTCATCACTGGCAGGAACCAACTTGCAGATTTGTTCATGTTGCTGATGATTTCCATCCCACCCATATTCTTAAAGGAATTTTGGGTAGGTTGTTGTGGGCTATACTATTTTGGCTATACCACTGAATTATGGTAATTACTATACTCTGCGGCCGCGCCAACGCATATATCAAAACAACTTTTAAAGCACGTCGTACACGAAAAACTTACAACTTGTAGCTTTTAGCTGAAAATTTGAAACTAATATGTTTCGAAAAAAAATGGATCATAGATAAAACGAGAAACAAACATATGATTTAGGGGTCAGGACCGTTCCGTGCTACAAGGCAGAAACCGTCGCGACCGTTCCATGCCATATTCAAGATTACAGTCGGAAACCGTCGCGACCGTTCCATGCTATAGCCCTTAAAAAACGGATATAGTCCGGAACCGTCTGCGACCGTTCGGAACCGTTCCTGGAAACTGCAAAAAAGATATAGTGTAGGAACCGTCGCAACCGTTCCACGCTGTATTCAAGATTACAGTCGGGAACCGTCGCGGCCGTTCCCGCAAAACTGGATTCTTGCGTTGTTTTAGCCTAAATATATCAGTATTTATATCTAATATGTTTTGATTTTGCATTAGAATATGTATATATATATATACATATACATACATATAATTGTTACATATGTATTTTATATGAATACAATACATCATTAGATGTGTATACAAGTATATACATACGTTATATCATATCTTTTGAAAAAGCTACCTAGATAGATTTTAGAACATAAGCCGGCTATTTATAATTCTATGATTTTGGTTCCAACATCATCATTGATCCTGGGGTTTGGGGTATGAATGCCCACATCTCTGTAAGTGTTTGTGCCAACTTAAAAGGCTGAACCTAAGTGCAATTCTTTCAGCACAACCCAGTCTTTTCAAGTTCCTGCATTTCTTTCTTTTAGTTCCAACATATTTGTTTATAGTTCCAATATTTGCCCATATAGTTCCTATATTTTCCCATATAGTTCCTATATACCCAGGGTGGCCACACACAAATAGGCCATCACTGGTTATAATATATATATGTATAGAATATGTATGTAATGTAATGTAATGCAATGCAATGCGATGCGATGCAATGTAATGTAATGCAGTAATGTATGTATGTATATACACAATATATACGAATGATATATGTATTTCTGTATATTTTTGTACAATAATCATACGATACAGAGAAATTTCTGATTTTTTCTTTCGTTTGCATTCGATCGTGAGATTCACGATGCCGTGAGCGCCGAGAAGGCCAAAGGCAAGAAATCCTGGGGTCGTTTCCCAAATGAAATCGCTACAGAAATTGTTTCCACAGTACAACAGCAATATGTAATATACGTATATATATATATATATATGTGTATATATATATACAGTACATAAATGTATATATATGTACATATATACGTATATACGTATATATATACATACATTTATATATATATATATATACATAATATACAGTATATATGACTTTCAATATATTGATTTTGAAACATGAGACATATTTCCATGTTCAATTGATTCAAATCATTTCGAACATTAAAATGACCACCATGTAAATCCATGAGGCAAAACTGTCAAATATGCAAAAAGTATCATCATGCCTTTCAATATATCTTTGTTCAGATGGTTTGTCTCAATCTCAAGAAGTGTTTTGATTTTGCGACTAGGAAGAACGTGTCAGTATGTCATTGGGACCATTGACAGTCATAGATGTGGCAGATTGTGGCAGTGCAATGCATCGATTGTCTCGTTTGTCATTTTGTTTTGGCCCTGATTGCTTCAAATTCTTCAATTGTACTCCAGGAAGGACGAATTTCAAGCCACGGCACAGTGCACGGCAGACTTCCAGGTATTTGATGGCTTAGCACAAAAACTGGAGCTCGCTCTTTTCCACAGGCCAATTGAGCTTTCTGTTCATATTGTGAAATTGCAGCGATATTACAACAATTCATATTTTCAAAAAGGTTTTCGGATTTTCTGTTTCAGTTGACAGTTTCGGAGTGCTTAAGCCATTGGATTTGCATCACTCTACGTTAGCCGATAATCAGCCAATGTACTTGCCTTTACCCGGCATGCTGACGTGCAAGAAAAGTGGAGCGCTATCACACAGTACGACAGGACACATTTTGCAGTGCTTGTGTACAGAGCAAATCGCTTTGAAGTTTTGTACCCTGCTGACTGAGCGATTCTACCGCAGCTTCTGAGCCATAGAAAGCTCCAGATTCAAAGTTGTTGAGCAGCCTCACAGGATCAGCCATGAAAGTCTTGAACCTTAGCCAACTGGTTTGCTCAACTGGTTTGATTCTCCAGAGTGTATTTCTAACCCAGTTGATGCATCACAGTGTCCACGCCCTGCCCTGCTCTACTGACTCTATTGGTGTATGAAACTGTGTTGCTACTGTTGCTACTGTTGCTACTGTTGCTACTGTTGCTACTGTTGCTACTGCTTTGTTGCCCAGCCTCCAGCTTTCATGGGGGCATCAGCAATTTGGGCAGCTGTCTGAGCAGCAAATCCACTCAATCGTCAGGCTTCGAAAATTGTTTTTTTTGCGCCATGGCAGAAGGCTATGCTGGAGACCGAGATGCAAACAAGGAGACACGGAAAAAACAATGAAAAAAACATGAAGTCTTTCTGGAAGGAAACGGATCTATTGAATGTATACCAAGAGACAATGGAACTTCGCATCAGGACAATTTCCTATCATCAAAAGCTCTCTTTGGAGGTGAGTCGTATTCAGGCTTTCAGAATGTGACCTGTGTGACTTGTGACTTGTGTGACTTGTGTCTCTTTTCCCTTTTCTTGTCCCTTTCGTAGCGGGTACCTGCGCATGTTTAGAGACTTTTGTATACTTTTGTGATGTTTCGGAGGAGAGCGCTATGCTTTGTCGTATCCTCTCGGCTGACCTGGCCTCTAGCCAACCCCTCAGTTGCCAAGCAGGTTCTCTACGTACTGGGCACAGTTTTTTTGAAGCATGATGGCATCTCCATGGAAAACACGCAGCTTTTATAATTTTTGTATGTTAGGTTCTTGGTGTCAAAGGAGGCGAAGACATCTATTTCCAATTTGTTGGGAGTGAGGTGAGATGGCAGAACTGGCATCGGCACGTAGCTCAGCATGTATTGTAGGCGTAGACATGGCTAGGCTTCCCATGAAGCTTCCCATGAAGCTTCACACCCACACTGGAAGAACTTAAGGAAGAACACATAGAGACATGCAGCGCTAAGCTGCCAAGTAGCTGAGCAGCTTCTGCCTTTCCTACCTTTTCGATTCCTTCGATTCCTGGTGACAAATACGAGAAAGCAGATCTTAGTTGTATCCTGAATCTGGCACTTTTCAGGAGCTTGATGCAGAGTCCAAGCCACGTTTGCTGAATGTTGAAAACGTTGAGGTGCAGCCGTTGCTCATCCTGTTTCGCATCAGGGAAATAATCATGATTGTATCAAGATCTGATACATAGAGTCTATAGAGACACACATGGCCAGTGTCATTGCTCTGTCTTAATCTGTGCTGGATGCCTCAACAACTCCACACTCTTTCGTTGTATTTCGTCTTCAGGCAGTTTTATTTACTTTGAAGCTTCGTGAGAATTCTCACTGTCTCTTTGTGAGATTCTATATATATATATACATATACATATATATATATGTACGCGCAAAACCCCTGTCTCGCCGTCGGCTGAAACTGCTTAAAACTGGGGGTTTGTCATGATTTCTGGAAATTTCCAATGGAAAAATGTTGCAAAACGCCATCTGCCCACACATCAGCATCTTTCTTTTCCTGTGCTTCACGACATCCAGTGTAGCTTTGCTACCTTGAAGGCGTCTGATAGAGATAGTTTTACTATCCCTGCCAAGCAATCTTCTCTATAGACAGTCATTGCGTTCAGGATTGCGTAACATCACTGACCTGTTCACAAAAACCGAAGAAAGCCAAGAGCGAAAAATCACTGACGTCTTAACATAAAACCGAAGAAAGTCAAGAGCGTAACATCACTGACGTGTTAACACAAACCGAAAAAAGCCAAGCGCGTAACATCACTGACGTGTTAACACAAACCGAAGAAAGCCAAGAGCGTAACATCACTGACGTCTTAACATAAAACCTAAGAAAGTCAAGAGCGTAACATCACTGACGTGTTAACACAAACCGAAGAAAGCCAAGCGCGTAACATCACTGACGTGTTAACATAAACCGAAGAAAGCCAAGAGCGTAACATCACGGACGTCTTAACATAAAAACGAAGAAAGTCAAGAGCGTAACATCACTGACGTCTTTAACATAAAACCGAAGAAAGTCAAGAGCGTAACATCACTGACGTGTGAACATAAACAGAAGAAAGCCAAGAGCGTAACATCAGTGACGTGTTAACACAAACCGAAGAAAGCCAAGCGCGTAACATCACTGACGGGTTGACATAAACCGAAGAAAGCCAAGAGCGTAACATCACTGACGTCTTAACCTAAAACCGAAGAAAGTCAAGAGCGTAACATCACTGATGTCTCTAACATCAAAATGAAGAAAGTCAAGAACGTAACATCACTGACGTCTTAACATAAAAACGAAGAAAGTCAAGAGCGTAACATCACTGACGTCTTTAACATAAAACCGAAGAAAGTCAAGAGCGTAACATCACTGACGTGTGAACATAAACAGAAGAAAGCCAAGAGCGTAACATCAGTGACGTGTTAACACAAACCGAAGAAAGCCAAGCGCGTAACATCACTGACGGGTTGACATAAACCGAAGAAAGCCAAGAGCGTAACATCACTGACGTCTTAACCTAAAACCGAAGAAAGTCAAGAGCGTAACATCACTAACGTCTTAACATAAAACCGAAGAAAGTCAAGAGCGTAACATCATTGGACGGGAACGAAAGGACGTTATTATGCCCCCACCCCCACCCCCCAAATGAAGGAAGCGGCGCCGCAACCAGCTAAAAAAACACACACAAAAAAAGACAATCCAGAACCTGCCAAAAACGCAAAAAGTTGCGCGCCTGCCAGCGAAAATGCAATACGATTTTTTTGCAAGGTCATAAATCACTGCGCCCGCCAGGCAAAATGGACGTGCTCAAATTCATTGGTGGCCGCAGGTCAAAATGCATTTTTTTGAACTTAAAAATAGAAAAAAAACGCGTTTTGCCTGCACGAGGAGCAAAAATCGAACGGGACGAATGACAATTTTGGCGACGGCGAGACAGGGGTTTTGCGGGTATATCGATATGTATAGAATTCTTATCGACTGGACACCTGCCTTTGGCAACGCAGCGCGTGCTTATGGCGAAGCTCTCCAGCCGGGCCTTGCTGGCAGGGCCCCCAACAGCGTCCCAATTCCCCATGTTTCAGCTATGACCTGAACATCCCGAGCTAACATGCTGTAACTAGATGTAACATGATGTAACTAGCGTAAGTTGGTGGTCCCTTAGGAACAAGTCAAGATTGTTGTGCTGCTCTCTTGCAGAGTCAACCTGTTTGTACATCATCCTTTTGTTTGGCCAGTCATAGTCTCTGTCTTTTGAAGAAGCTTATTGGAATCTTTGCATCCAACTTTGAAGAGTGACAAAGTAGCATCTATTCAACAAAGGATTGCTGTCACACAGCCTGTCCTCTACTTTCGACAAGAAGGTAAACCTGAGTACAGCCATGTCTATTCCTAAGCCTGAGAGAAATGTCCGAACGCGGCACTTGGCAGAAAGCGGCGTAATCCTCCCCTTTCAGGATGTCCCTTTCAAGGAGTGTCCCTGTCCCTGAGGCTGAGAAGCTGAAGTATTTGAGGGAGTGTTCCAAGGCTTGTGAGGAGGCCACCAGGACTCGATGGGATCATAGGACATTGAGGTCATGTGATTTCTGACCACTGGTTTTGAGCACATGAAGCACATGAAGCACATGAAGCACATGAAGCACATGAAGCACGGTTGTTCGGTACTCAATATCAGCTTTCCAGGCTTTGCAGGTAGGTCTCAGGAACTATGAAAGGTCGGATATGGGCAACTTTGCACGATACAGGCTCTTTGCACCAAACAAATCAACCATTGAAGAGCAGTTTTCCACAGTTTTCCTAGAGCCATTGTTAGGTCCGGCGCGATGCCAGATATCCTCCGCCCGTCTTGCAACAGTTGCCCAAGGTCGCTTAGCAGCATTTTCGGCACTCCCTGAGTCACTAGAGTCATACTACGTCATACTCTAGTCACTTCAAAAGTCTTTTGAAGAAAGGACACATGTTGAAGTGGGCTTCGTGAACTTGAGTGAATAATTCAATATCGCATATCTGACCGAAGAGCCTTCGAGCCCAAGACAAGAATTGTAACATGCATATCCAGAAGCCATTTCGGATTTGTCCCTGTTCGCAGGGAACAATCGTTCTCTCCAATGGTCATGCGAGAGAGGTTGGACATCAGTCCTGGCACTCCACTGATTAGCAGTCAGATGGGCGAGGTGCAGGGTGGTACGCCCACCTGGGCTGCTAGCCGGGTGATGGACTCATGATTCGGCGTCGAGCTGTTCTGAGCCAAGGTCATGTTCAGGACGCCGCAGCTGCTGTTCCCCAGATCATTCGAGATATGCAGGTGGCTTTAGGAACAGCTCCAAATTAAATGTGGACACCTCGCAGATAACTACGATCCCAGCAGATGTGCAGATTGGTGCTCCTTCACAGATGTCCATGGTCCCAGGACTTTCTTTGGATATCCTTGGTCCTCGAAGCCCTGGAGCAGTGTCAGCGCCATCGGTGACCGAGGAGATGCAGCAAGAGATGGGGGCCTCACAAGGTTCAGAGGTCTCAATGCGGGCTTCGTCGGAGTTTGAGCTTCGAGATTCAGGGAGCTGGGCAGGCAGTTGGCGAGTGTGCCACGGGCGCAGGAAAACAGGCCCGCTTTGGTGCCTCAAGCATTGGTTCCACCGGATTTTTTTTTTGCGAATGATGAACTTGCAAGACGAACTCAGGGAAGCTCAAGTCAACTTGGCCGTTCAGACAGCAAGGAACGAGATCGCTTCTGCCAAGCAACAGGTGGCCGAAAGGTCGCTGGAACTGGTGAATCAGAGGATGCAGCTTCTGGAACAAGAGAAGGATGAATGGAAAAGACGGGTAGGGGAAATGCAGCCTGAGCCGTTGGAGACGCAGCGTTATGAGGCGGCATCAGCACCAAGAGCTGCAGGCCAACCGGCCAGAGATGAGGGTGTGCCTTCGCCGGATCTCGGTGAGGTGCAGGTCAAGGACGAGTTGGATGAGAAGGGCACAGCGCTGGTGCCAGCAACTTGGATGCATTGTCTCCTTTTCGAGACACGTCGCAAGAGTTTCAAGCATCAGATGAGTCGAGTGGTAGCTTTTTTCCGTCACACCTCACAAGAGTTTCATGCATCAGATGAGTCGAGTGGTAGCTTTTTTCCCGTCACACCTCACAAGAGTTTCATGCATTAGATGAGTCGAGTGGTAGCTTTTTCCGTCACACTTTCATGCATCAGATCGGTCGAGTGGTAGCTTTTTGTCCGTCACACCTCACTATAGAGTTTCATGCATCAGATGAGCCGAGTGGTAGCATGTTTACTCCACGTCAGGTGAAGACCTACGAGGAGGGATCAGGTGATGGACCTGTGTGGAAGTTGCTGCAAGTACTCTCCTGCTGCATGTGGCATTGCGAGCAGACGCACGGTGGTGCCAACCCCAAGCAAACTGACAAAAGTGCGGTGCATCGGCATCATCAGTTGGCTGATGCCGTCGTCCTCACTGACGAAGACAAGAGATGGCGTGACCAGAAGATTCTCAAGTTCCACAAGGCCACGGCCAAGGTGGCGGTCAAAAAAGAAAGCTGACCGCAACGTGCGGTATACGCTGGCTGAGTCGCTGACAGTGAGGCGTGCATTCCTTGATTCTTGGCCATTCCCGTTGGACGCAGTTCGAGAGGGACTGGTTCGTGATGAGCAGCAAATGGCTGGAAACCCTTTCCTGGGAGGAGCTGGCGCAGCAGGCCAGGTCAAACTGCTGCAGTGTTTAATATATACATAACACATGATCTTTTGTATTATATATACATATATATCTTGAAATGTAATATACACAGCATTATGTCTCACAGATAAGTCGCTGATCCAACCAAGTCGCTCACATCTCTTGCGCGGGGCGGTGCGTTTGCCTGCGCTGTGAGAATGTGTCAGCGTCCTGATCAGTGCGCGCCAGGTCCAGGCGAGAGACCTGTGGCTGTGTCGAGACCTGTGTCAACTTGTGGCCTGTGGCCGTATCGAGACCTGCGTGGTTCCAAATGACTGAGGAAGAACAGACCATGGCTCACTTCCCACACGTGAGCCTTTGTATTGTGGAACAACAACTTCGTGCTGACTCACATGGAGCAAAACCCGCCCCCGGGCCATCTCCTTGTTGGAGGCCTTGCTGAACAGCCTTTGTCTCCCAGAGAAGAATCACGAGCGACGTGTCTACGTCATACACGTCCTGACGTTGCGATTCTCAGGGCGTGTGACATCCTGAAGGTGGGATGCACGCAATACCCAGAAGTGTTCTTCTTGCGCTTCTTGCGCATCCGGTCCTACCGGAAAGAGGACTTCCCCGGTGGAACGACTTTGATTAGGTTGAGCATGCTACGTTTTGCGTTAGCTTGCTAATGCTAGTTTATAGTATGAAGGAAAGCGAAGGCATGAGCGGCTTTCAAAAACCTGCCGGGTGTTGAATCTTACAGTCTTTTATGTTTGGTTATGTCTCCAAAAGCGTAGACTGTAGCAAGAGCTCACGTTGCTCTTTACGTGTTTGAATGTGGAATGCATGTGTCCGTTTGTGTTTTGCATGTGCACGCAATTTCTGTGGATGCTTTTCAAAAAAATGATGTTGAACAAACGGAAACAACTACACCAGTGATGTTGCCAGATGTCAGTGTGACATGTCAAGTGTAGTATCTGTTCACAAGTGAAACAATGCATGTCAATCTTAAATGATGTATGCTCATCTTTCGTTTTACATCTCGAGTGAGGAGGGTGGGTGGGAAACGTGCTATGGTAGCACAGGTAGCACAGGTAGCACCGGCGCGGTGCCATAGTCCGTGGAAGGACTGCAGTTGAAGCCTGGCGTCAAGAACCACGCTGTGTTCCGTGGCATTCCTCTTTTCGCATTGAAGCTGTTTTGGGTATTGGATTCACCGGATTTCTTTTAGGGTGGATTAGCTGCTTCATTTGGCTTTTGCTGCCTACGCTGGTATATGAACATTGACGTGCAGTCTGAGCACGACCTGGACCGATACGATCAGGTTTTCAACAATCCTGTGCTTGATACTTTGTTTGGAGTGGACAACGGTAGTGCACTGTTTCTGCAATTTTGTGACACTCACACCATTCTTTGCTTTCGATCTGCTTGTTTTGCAACATTGCTGGAGGTGCGAGATTTCTGCACTGAACAAGAAGCTGCAGAGCATCCTGCGAGGGTTCCGGACCCTCCCTTGGCTTGGTTCATTCCGACACCTGCTGAAGCTGACAGGGGTAATCCATAGCACTGTAACATTTTCTCTTTGCAATGCCTACAATGACTGATGACAATTCGAACAGTTTTGACAGTGATGCATATGACATACACCTTGCACATGTCTGGTCCAGCAACAAGACCACGGCCTTCACCATGCCCTGGGACAGAACGATGACTACACCATGGCAGGTTTGCAAACGTATGAGGACAGTTTTTCCTGACATGATAAAGTCTGCAATCCCTCCGATGCCTCTTCAACCTGAGAGTGAGACGCCAATGGATGAGGTTGCAACTGACTCTGCTTTCCGTATGGCTGGTCTCAGAGCTGCCAGCAGCATCGACAACCGGCTGTGGTCAGAAAAACTGTCCTGGGAGAGGAAGGCAGCCTACAAGAAGTGGTCTGCCATCATCCTGCATGAGATTGGGGCATTGGAGATAGCTAGACTGGAGGTCCAGTGCAAAGTCATGGAGTTTGCCCGTGGAGGCCTGCTGGAAAGCATTGCCGATGCCTTGGGAGCAAAGGCCACGGCTACACTGCACAACAGGGCGAGCCCGCTGTTACAGTACATCAGTTTTTACAAGGATCGAGGAAAACCCTGCTTGCCTCTCTACGAGTATCAGGTGTATGACTACCTGAAGGCGTGCAACCACAAAGCAGCCTCTTTTCCTAGGTCGCTTTTGATGTCGATCAATTTTGCAGATCACCATTTTGGGCTTCACGGTGCAACTTCCGTGAGAGCATCTGGAAGGATCAAAGGCTTGGTCGACATCCTGTACTCTCAGAGGAAAAAGCTGGTGCAAAGGCCACCACTGACTGTGAAGCAAATTCTGCGTTTGGAAGCCATTGTCCATGATGAGAACAGGGCAATTTTTGATCGACTGGCAAGTGGCTATTTTCTTTTCTTGGTGTATGGGAGGCTTCGCTATTCCGATGGGTTGCAAGTCTCATCCGTGAGCCTTGACCAGAGAGATGATGGTTTTGGATTTTTGGAGTGCCTCGCAGAGAAGACCAAGACCTCCATCACTTTGGAGAAGAAATCGAGGCACATCCCAATAGCGGTGCCCCTGATGTGCTTGGGAGAGCAGCCCTGGGTGCAGCCTTGGTTGAGACTGAGGGATGAACATGTCCTTCCAGCCCTTGGAGAGTCTCGCAACTCAGTGCCGTTGCTTACAACACCTGCAGTTGGAGGTGGTTGGTCTCGAGTTCCGCTGACAGTCACCGCAGCAGCGGGGTGGCTCAGAGCTCTTTTGCAGGATGTCGAGCCTGAAGGGCCGGTGATTGGGCACACATTCATGCAAGGCCAGTTTGCTGTCGATGTGTGCGAAGTACAACATGTCAGGGCATTCACGACGCATACTTGGATACCATAGCGCAGGAACCAAGGAGTCGTCAATGCTGGTGTACAGCCGTGACGCTGCAGCTGGGCCGCTCCGAGACCTGTGCAACATGATGGCCGACATCAAGTCAGGCCATTTTCTGCCTGACGAATCAAGATCTGGGCGGTTCATCGACATGGAGCCCAATCCACCTGCAGAAGATGATGACGGAGGTGAGTCATCAAGCACGTGCACAGAGAATGAGGAAGAGGTTGACTGCGAAGGCGACGAAGATGCCTGCAAGAAAGTGGTTGGAACTTGGCAGCCCGAGAAAGAGTTCGAAGGCGATGTCGCCTTGTATGTCAGAAACAAAATTTCGCGCTGCATACATGTCACAGCAGATGAAGCTGGGGCTGAGTTCAGATGCGGATGCAGAATGTCTGGCAGCTATGAGGTCCTCTCGGCAAAGCCTGCCTTTTTGTCTCCTGCCTGCAACATGTGTTTCAAGGCAGCCTGATGCTTTATGAGTCCTGGAAAAAGAGCCAGCTGATGATGATATCAGTGACAACGCGTCATGGTGAAATGCACACCTGAGGCACATGCATGCCTGGTAATGCACCAAAAGATGTCATGCTTTTAAAAGTTTTTCACAATTTTTCCTGGCTCATCAGCGTGGCGAAATGTGCCACTTGTCAAGCGACAGCATGTTCACGAACAGGGCACTACGACATGTTCAACCCTGCATTTCAGGTTTCTCTCAGGAAAATTGCTTGGAGCTTAATTTCATAGATTTCAGATGTGAGTGCAATACCATGAATCCTTTTGAATGTCACAGTTATGTCAGTGAAATGTTTTCATGTCATGTCTTTTTCATTTCACTGTTCTGTTTGCTCCCCCGACAAACGTCGCAATGAGTTTTTCAGACAGCGAAGCAGTTTTCTTTCAGAGATGCCGAGAGATTGGATTCGACGATGACGTCGTCACGAACATGAAGGCCAAACAGTTGACGACAATGTCACGTTTTGCATTTGCTTGCAACTACTCCCCCTCTGGAGTTGATGAATCTCCTCTTGTCGCATTAGCCAAAGAGATATATGGAAAAGATCCCAGCACCATTGAGATGTCCTTTGTCAGACGGATTTTCAATGAGGCATATGTCAATGTTGCTTCAGATATAAAATCAAAAGCAGAATCCACTGATGAAACTCCCATTCGTCGCTTGGCTCCTGCTGAAAGAGCTGAACGACTCAAACAACAGCAGAACCGCCTCAAGGGCATCAACATTGCTGGACCGTTGGAGCCTGGTGACAGCCTTATAGACAAATGCATATCAATATATGAGAGCGACCGTATTCAGTACGTAGCTTGGGAGGTTGCTGTGAGCAGGGAACATGAGTTGCTTACAGGCTCAAAGAGGGACACTCAATTGACATTTGATGGATCTGGTGTCTTGAAGCTGCAAAAGTCCAGTCATGTTGAACCGTGCAATACAGGCAGTGAGATCCAGGTTAAATACGCGCTGACAAGGCGCGCACTCGCCTTCGAGCAGGCGAATTTGGTCAAGTTTGCCTTGATGGAGGCGTGGTCAGAAAAGATGATGCAAAGTAGACTTGAGGAACCTAGCACCGGGTTTGCAAGGACCACCATGAAACAGCTTGAGCAAGCCGACAGAAAACTGTTTGTCGTTTTGGGTGAGAACACACGAGAGGGAATCAAAGCGACGGCCAATGGACGTCCAATCGATGCTATCTTTGAAAGGTGCATGCAATCTTCAGAGGTTTTGTCATTGCTGCAGCCTCGCCCTGTTGCAGCCGGAAAGCCGGAAAGGGAGGCGCCTAAACCTTCCGCTGAGAGACCTTTGAAGAGGCAAAGATTTGACTCCAATGTGAAAGGTGTGAACAAAGGCAAGGGCAAGGGAAAGGGCTCCAACAATGCACGCATTCCACATGAACTTTTGGCATTAGGAGAAGTGTCAGCAGCCACTCCCAAAGGTGTTAGGCTTTGTTTTGGCTACAACCTCAAGCGCTGTCCTCACCCTGTCGACAAGCAAAAGTGTGAACGTGGTTTGCATTGTTGCTGTGTAAAGGGCTGCTATAAGCCCCATCCTGCCTTGGACCACAACAAGGATTGACTCCATGGCGGAGTCGAAGGAGAAACGGACGACAAGGGTTGTACCGATTTCACCAATTCAGGCAGTACCAAAATTTTTGAGGACGCAGAAACTGCTACACGTCTCGAAGAGGACACCAAAATTCAGATTGATGCTTTGTTGCCTGAACCTTCAGGCAATGCGAAGCCTTGCATTTTTCTTGAGTTGTGTGCCGGCAGTGCAAAGTTGTCGGCGGCGGTACGTAGTACAGGCATTCCTGTTGTGCCGATTGATCACCAACACAACAGACATGCACCACGATGTAAGATTTTTCAGCTGGATCTTTCACAACCACATGCTTGGGATCAACTGTTGTTTTTGCTTGACAACTATACTATTTTGGCATGTCATATTGCCCCTCCTTGCGGCACCTGTAGCCGAGCGCGTGGCATCCCAATGGCTGATGGCACTCCAGATCCACAACCGTTACGATCCGAAGAACAGCCGCTGGGTCTGAGTGGGCTCTCATACCATGACCAGATGAGGGTCGATGGAGCAAACGCTTTGTATGATAGACTGGGACAACTTGTTGAAGAACTGCAGAGACGTGCCATCCCTTGGTCAATTGAGAATCCAACAAATCCTTTGATGTGGAATTTACAATTTTTCAGCTTTGCAGTGGTACATGGTGAATGGGTGCACTGCCATGCGTGCGCGTTCGGTGGCACGAGAAAGAAGCTCACTACATTTCTGGTCAGTGATGCGACGTTGTACAATTCCTTGGAACGTTTTTGCCCAGGAGATCATGAACATGAAGGTTGGGGTTTTGACACCAGCACTGGCACTTTCAATACAGCTAAAGAAGCTGAATACCCCGACGAAATGTGTCGAGTCTATGCTGAGATTGTTTCAAAAATTGCTCAAAACCGTGGCGTTGTTGTAGATGATTTCACAGCCAAATCTTCAGCCACGGGCCCACAGACACAGAAACGAGGACGTCGGGTACCTCAAGTGATTCCTGAATTTTTGTGGACTCGCACCATGTTGCTGGAGGCAATACCACGTGTTGACCACAAGAGATGCCTGCTTCATGCATGCGGGGACATTCCAGCAGGGTGCAAGCTACTCAGAACTGAAGCGAACAAGGGAAAGTTGGGAAACTTGTTTTTGTGCGTCTTTGGATGTTTTAGATCAATGCAACAGTTTGTGGAAGCCTCCAAGCAGCTGTGGCATCCTTACGATGAGCTCAAGAACCTGCCTGATGCCATGGTCAAGAACTTGTTTTGGTATCTCACTACATCACCTACTGCAGTGACAAAACAGCGCTTGGAGTGCATGACCAGGTGGAAATTTTTGTGCAAGGAACTACAGCCTATGGAGATGCAATTACACGATCAGATGAATGAAACTGTGGCTGGCGTCCTTCGTGGGAAGAACATCCTTTTAATGAGACAAATTGCAGAAGAAATTAACTGGCCGGACACAGAACTTTTTGATGAAATGGTTCATGGTTTCAAACTCACCGGCAACTTCGGTGCTTGTGGCGTTTTCAAACCTCAGGTGAATATTCCAGCGCTGTCGGTTGAACAACTGAATAAGAATACGAAGCATCTCAGGCCTACCATTTTGGGCAGAATGAAACTTACTGCGTGTGATGATCTACAAGATGAACTTCTGCAAGTGACCATGTCTGAACAAGAAAAAGGGTGGTTGGATGGGCCATACTCCACCAAGCAGATAGCTGACATGCTTGGACAGGATTGGTTGCCTGTTCGTCGTTTTGGAGTGCGTCAGAAGAACAAGACACGACCAATTGACGATTTCCGTGAAAACACCTTGAATCAAACTTTTGGATCGGTGGAGAAGCCTGAGTTGAGGACCATGGACCACGTGCTGTGGGCGCTAGTGATCCTTGCGCAATATTTCACTTTCCATGAATACATTTCCTTTTCTTTGAGTGATGGCACCGTGCTGAACGGTGAGGTGCATGCTGACTGGAAAAAGCTGCAACCTATTTTCAAAACTACTTGCGTGGATTTGCAGAGCGCATACAAGCAACTGGCAGTCGCCCCTGCGGAGCACAAACATACGGTGGTAACTTTGTGGGACAGAGACAAAAGAGAACCTGCATGTTATGTGTCCCGAGTTTTGCCATTTGGGGCCTCAGCCAGTGTGCACCACTTCCTTAGAGTCAGCGCCTTCCTACACGCTGCTGGTCTGCGCATGGGCCTGTGTTGGGCCGCTTACTTCGATGACTTTGCAGTCCTTACGCATGAGTGCCATGAGAAAAGTTCTTTACATGCAGCCCTGGGCCTTTTTGACATACTTGGTTTCCAATACAGTGCGGATAAATTATCTCCTTTCTCAGATGTCACTGAGTTGCTTGGTGTGGAGATTGACTTGACAGAAGTGACAGGTGGTTTCGTAAAAGTTCAGAACAAGAAATCACGTGTTGACGAAACGGTTGACTTTTTGGAAAAGATGCTTGCTGAACGAGTTTTGGTGGTGAGCGAAATGCCTAGCAAGCTTGGAAAACTACAATACGCCGAAGCCCAGTTGTGGGGAAGAACAGGCAGGCTGGCGCTTGCTGACTTGCGAAGAGCAACGAGTCTGGGCAAAGACCAAGTTACAATCGATGACAGAGCCTGCAAGGCGATCCAACTTTTGCTTCATAGATTGTCCTGTGGAAAACCCAGAACTTTGAGAATATCCAAAAAGAGCAAGCCAGTCATCCTTTTCACTGACGGATCCCTTGAGACTGAGCATGGTAGTGCGGTCGCCCGCATTGGAGGTGTTTGCATTTCGGCTGAAGGAACTTTCGTTTTTGGAGCAAGGGTCCCCGACGAGCTTCTGGACCTGTGGAGAGAACATGGTGAAAAGGAGCACGTCATAGGCCTTGTCGAACTTTACGCAGTCCTCGTTGCCATGAACACTTGGTCTCATTTGATCACTGGTGAACGACTTCTGATTTTTGTTGATAACTGGCCAGTCGTTGACGCACTCGTGAAAGGTGTATCAACTCAGGTGACTTGGCGAGACATGCTTATGGTTTTTGAAGAGTTGGATGAAAAACAACAATCCCTGCATTGGGTGGGACGAGTGCCATCAGCTAGCAACCCGGCTGACCCACCAAGCAGGGGCACCTTAGCAGGGCTGGAATTTTTGAGACCTTTTTCGACTTGCGAAGGCAAGTGTCCCATCACGCTCAAACAACTCCAGTCAATTGTGAAAGAATGCAGCTGAAGCAGAAAAGGGGAATCGTAAGGTCAATGCAGACCAAACCTTGGAAGTGCAACCATGTGTAATTTCTTGGGTCATGCCGCTCATCTCACAACCAGTGAGGAATGTCAAATTCGAATCCCCCGATCTGCGCAGAGAAAAGTGAATGAGCGTGAGTCAATCAATTTGCACAGTGAATCCATGTCGTTTGATGTTTGCAGTTTTTGTGATGTTTTTGTCTTGTGATGTTTTTTTTTCTGGAACCTCCACATGTGCGTCAACAAACAACTTCAACGACGACGTATGGCGTATACATATGAGATGTACACACTCATATAATAATATATGAATACTTAGATGTATGTATAAAATAGATGCGATCGAGAATGAAACTGCCCCAAGGCGCTTGATAGGTTTGTATGCGTGTTGCGCATATGTCATTTGAGTTCATGCTTTACTCGCCCTGGATGTTTCTGAACAATGCTAACTGAGCGTGTACTCGTTGTCCCCTTTGGTTTTTGAAAGATCCTTCAAGCTATAAGTTTTGCGTTAGCTTGCTAATGCTAGTTTATAGTATGAAGGAAAGCGAAGGCATGAGCGGCTTTCAAAAACCTGCCGGGTGTTGAATCTTACAGTCTTTTATGTTTGGTTATGTCTCCAAAAGCGCAGACTGTAGCAAGAGCTCACGTTGCTCTTTACGTGTTTGAATGTGGAATGCATGTGTCCGTTTGTGTTTTGCATGTGCACGCAATTTCTGTGGATGTTTTTCAAAAAAAATGATGTTGAACAAACGGAAACAACTACACCAGTGATGTTGCCAGATGTCAGTGTGACATGTCAAGTGTAGTATCTGTTCACAAGTGAAACAATGCATGTCAATCTTAAATGATGTATGCTCATCTTTCGTTTTACATCTCGAGTGAGGAGGGTGGGTGGGAAACGTGCTATGGTAGCACAGGTAGCACAGGACTGTTTTGTTTCACCCACCCACCCTCCTCTGAAACAAAACACTCCCTTTGGGGAATCGTAAGGTCAATGCAGACCAAACCTTGGAAGTGCAACCATGTGTAATTTCTTGGGTCATGCCAGGGAATCGTAAGGTCAATGCAGACCAAACCTTGGAAGTGCAACCGTGTGTAATTTCTTGGGTCATGCCACCCATCTCACAACCAGTGAGGAATGTCAAATTCGAATCCCCCGATCTGCGCAGAGAAAAGTGAATGAGCGTGAGTCAATCAATTTGCACAGTGAATCCATGTCGTTTGATGTTTGCAGTTTTTGTGATGTTTTTGTCTTGTGATGTTTTTTTCTGGAACCTCCACATGTGCGTCAACAAACAACTTCAACGACGACGTATGGCGTATACATATGAGATGTACACACTCATATAATAATATATGAATACTTAGATGTATGTATAAAATAGATGCGATCGAGAATGAAACTGCCCCAAGGCGCTTGATAGGTTTGTATGCGTGTTGCGCATATGTCATTTGAGTTCATGCTTTACTCGCCCTGGATGTTTCTGAACAATGCTAACTGAGCGTGTACTCGTTGTCCCCTTTGGTTTTTGAAAGATCCTTCAAGCTATAATGCAATGTGCGAGGAAAGAACACGCGTCAGACATCGAAAGGTGCTTCATTGGCTAGCCAAGTCGCAGATCAAGGGCGAGTTTTCCGAAGTTGCTGGGAGGTCCAAAATGCACGCTGCCTCGGAGGTGGCAAAGGTGACGAGCCTCCTGAAGAAGGCTCAACCCATCGGAACTGCACCATCAAGTGAAACGATATCCGTCCACGAGAGAGGGACACGTCGTGGCTGCAGGCTTTGCTCCCAGATTTGCGGCAGAGAGTGGCATCAGCATGTGACTGTAGCAGACAGATCTCCTTTGGTGGATCTCGGTCTTTGGTACCATCCTGGTTGCCGTCAACTGGTACCATCTTCCTCTTGCAGATGTCCCGGGAGTAGACCCCTGGACGCGTGCAGAAAAGCAAAAGAGTGAATGGCCGTATTGCAGTACTGATTGAGTTGCAACACTTTCAGACGTCATCTTGCATTTCTGACTGAACCCTCACAATTCTTTTTGCATTGCTTGACTCAAGTGATGCATTTTCGGCTGCACCCTCACAGTCTTTTTTGCACTGCTTGACTCAAGTGATGCACTCACAGTCACTTCGGTATGAACAGACAGTTGCACTCCGTTGCACCAGAACTCCCCAGCGAAGAGGTGCATCAGATGATCGGCAACTACGGCTCTCTCAGTATGACATGTCTCGTGGCTGCATTTCCCAGTATTTTCTCCCTCCGGATCCAAACAGCATCAAACTACCCCAAACTATCCCAAACTGTATCAGACTATATCAAACTATATCTCTTGTATCCAGCGCGAGCTGGCACTGCGTATTGAAGTATTGGCACAGGCGCCGAACTTTTCGGTCACGACTCGGTGCCTTCAGACCAGGTGGGATGTCCACTCTTTGCAAATATTGATTGTGTCGGTGTTGGAATTCAAGGTATCAAAGTGCGTTGATTGTGCGTGGCTGCCAGATCAATTTTGCCAGAGATAAAGTTGTTCGGCTTCAACGTGTTCACACAAACCTAAAGGAGCCCCTTTTCGTGCAAATTTGGCAGGCAAGCGCTTGCCTCAAGTCTATGTACGACCGCCGTGAGTTGATAAGAGCTCAGACCAGATGGACCAGCCATCAGTCAAGAAGCCACTGTGAAGCCGTGAGACACCATGCCTTTTTTAAAATGTTTTTTCTTCTCTTTAAACCAAATCAATACATACATACGTATATATATATACATACATATATTATATCACATACTATATTTCATGACATTATATTATATTATATTAAATTCTATTGTATTATTGTATGGTATAGTATTGTAATTGTATTGTAATTGTATTGTATTGTACCGTATTGTGTTGTATCGTATCGTATCGTATCGTATTGTATTGTATTGTATTGTATAATCGAAGGAAGTTTAGAAGTCAAACTTCCGACAATATGGACAGATGAAAAGCAGAGCAGGGAAGAGGAAGAAAGAAGAGTAGAAGAGAAAGAGTAAGAAGAAAGAAGATGCAGACCCGTGAAAAGGTAGGAAAGTCGCGAAACACTGTGTTTTCCCAATGATTTGGGGCTCCGGAGGGTCGAAAAGTAGGCTCGCTAAAGCGGCGGGTGCGGAGCCAGCTGGCCAGATGAGAGATGAAAAATTGCACGCCGTTGTGGCGCGAAGCACACTTGGAAGTCAAAATGTACAAAACACACCAGCTCCGGACCACTTTTGGCAGTTGAGATGTGGAAAAAGTGCACGCCGTTGTGGCGCGAAGCACATTTCGAAGTCAAAATGTACAAAGCACACCAGCTCCGGACCACTTTTGGCAATTGAGATGTCGAAAAAGTGCACGCCGTTGTGGCGCGAAGCACATTTCCAAGTCAAAATGTACAAAACACCTCAGTGTCGGACGATTTTTGGAAGTTGAGATGTCGAAAAAGTGCACGCCGTTGTGGCGCGAAGCGCATTTGGAAGTCAAAATGTACAAAGCACACCAGCTCCGGACCACTTTTGGCAGTTGAGATGTCGAAAAAGTGACTACAACTGCAAGCGCAACTACAACTAACTACAACAACTGCAACAACTGCAACAACTGCAACAACTATTACAACTACAACTGCAACTACAACTGCAGTTACAACTTCAACTACGCTTTGTGCACTACAACTACAGCTATAACTACGCTACAACTACAACTACAACTACAACTACAACTACACTACACCGCACTAGACTACAACTACAACTACAACTACCACTACCAGTAAACTACACCACAACAACAGCTACAGCTACAACTACCACCATAGTACAACTACAACTTCAACTTCAGCTACATTACAACAACAACAATAACAACAACAACAACAACAACAATTACCACTACACTTCACCGCAACTACAACTACAACTACACTACACTACAGCTACAACTACAACTACAACTACATTACGCTACAGCTGCAACTACAACTATTCTACACTACAGCTACATCCATTACTGCAACTACATGTTCAACTACACTTCTTCTTCTTTTTCTTCTACTACTACTACTACTATTACTACTACTACTACTGCTACTACTGCTACTACTACTACTACTACCACTACTACCACTACCGCTACAGCAACTGGAACCACAACTACAACAGTACAACTTCAACAGCATCAACTACACTACAACTACAGCTACACTACAGCTACAGCTGCAACTACAAGTACAATTACATTACGCTTCGCTACACCAGACTACATCCTGCAGTTGTGGGTGAGGTGACCACTGCAACCACTCCAAAAATCACAGCCACCTTCGGTCCATCAGTGGAGAATCTACCATCCATGATGCACAGCAACCAACCTCTCCTATAGGTTTCCTATTTTTGAAACTCCCGCCACCGCCTTGTGCGGTACTACTGATATCTAATTGAGTTATTTTGTATGATATGAATATTTTACAGTAATATGTGTCATACATTTTGAAATGATATGATAATATATGATTTAATTAGGTATTAAATAGGTAAAATATGATGCGATTTTGTTTCATATCATGTCATATGATAATACATAGTAAGGTAATGTCTTAATAAACAAATATAAGCACGTAAGAAATCAATGATATATACACATATGTTAAAATATATACTGTAGTTTTAATGATTTGCAATAGTAATAATAATACATCGGAAAGATATGCAATAATGTATATATATGTATCCAATGATCAATAAATACTAACTAGTAGATAAAAACATATTTCATAAGACATAATAATATTTAGTAATTTTAAATATATAGAAAGATTTAGAGCATACATAGAATGATGTAAATCAATTGACATGAATATATAAGAATTTTTGATAATAAATAACAATATATAATGATAAATAAGTATTTATAATAATATGAAACTATATTTAATGACTGTTTTTGTTCAAATAATATCAAACGATATTTTCTTATATTATATGATGACATTTAGTAATGCACAATAAAATACAGTAATATATAGTAATATATAAGAACATGAATACTTAAAGATAACATAAAATAAAATTACAATAAGATACAATTGTAAATGACAATTTATAGTATATAACAAAATATAATATAAAATAATGTCAAATAATCTTTTTAGCAAATGGCAATATACAGTAACAGCTGAAAATAGCGTAAAATATAACATAACGTTGTACAATAATATTTGACCATTTCTGAAAATATATGATGACAGAATCATTTATGATAATACCTACCAATATACAATAAAAATAATTAATAATTTATGAGAATATACGATATATAATACTAATGAATTATCTGAAAATATGCGGTATATAATAAAATAGAATAATATTCAATAATATATTATAATATATTATAATATATAACAATATATAGTAGTCAAAATAACACCCATGATAATAATGTATAATAATATCACTGATCATAATATATAATCATAAAATCAAAACAACATATAGTATAACATAGTAAAACATAAAACGAAGGAAAAATAATATGATATGATATGATTTTATACAATATAAAATGATATGATATAATATGATATTATATGATTTAGTGTTTTATAGTTACATACACACACTTGGTATGCGTCTCAGTGATGAAAGTCATTGCTTGCGTTTCGAACCTTGCGAGCCTGATGTTCCCAAGATGTTCCTCAAAACCACATTATGTCAGGTTCAATTGCAGAGAACCAATGGAAACAGTCAGTACATACTGGATCCAAATAGATAGGAATCACTTCCATGGCTCATGATTATGTAATATATATATATGTACACACATTGACATGTACACCCATAGTAAAATCATTCTTTGTCTTGGTGTCTTTGACCAAACAGTAATTTGCCACCTTCTCAGGACAATATTCTTTCTGGATGCCATGGCAAATGCTATGGAGGAGTCCGTGCTTTGGACTTGATGATTGTTGTAATCGCGCAAAGGGTTTCTCAATTTTTTTCTATTTCCTTTTCGTTCTTCGATCGCCAAAAACTAAATCGAAAAAACAATTTTTTACCCCCACGACAGGAACCTGATCAGATGGCAGCAATTTTCGGGCCATTCTTGAACCAGGACCAACCTACCCAGATTGATTCTGCCTGATTCTGCACTTTGCAGGAAAATGTTTGGCATATTGGCGAAGAACCATTGAAAATACTCCGAGTCTTCCTGTCTAAGTTTCGCATCTCCGTCCACTGGATTGTGCGAGGCCTGCTTTTCCTTGCGAGGCCGAAATCTGGTGGACCAGAAATTGGAGGACCGATTTCGTACGTTCAAGTTGATTCAGACAGAAAGCAGATAAAGATCGTTGAAAGAGGCCTTTTTACGCATTTCAAAAAAACTTGTGCTAGCTGGAGTTGCTCTTGCTTTAGCAAGGAATAGGCAGACAGGCAGGAGTCCCAACCCTAGAAACCGTTTGTGTTCTACCCCCCTCCCCCCTGGCAGGCCCGGGTTCAATTCCACCCCTGGTCCGTGGTTTGAGGGCAGGTACAGCTTTGCCATCTCGGTTTCTATCTTCTTCTTCTTCTTCATCATCATCATCATCATCATGTTCATCTTCATTGGGAGCGGCGTCGTCGTCGTCATCATCATCAGTATCAGCATGAGCCGCTTTCTCCGTTTGGATCTCAATCCGGTTCTTCCTTTTGGCAGTAAGATAAGTACCAACCTACTAGTTTTCGTACCCTGGCCTCAAGTCAAGATCTTCAGATTCAGATAATGTATATATATTGCATCTAAACACCTTCACCTATACATAGACATATATGTTATTCCGTCCCAAGGGAGGCGAATACTGCAGAGCAATTGAGGACAGCATCTGATGCCATGCATGTACCGTGCCGCAGATATAAGTTGAATGTATTCTGTCCTTTTCTGTTGGCGAGGTCGAATTGGAGATTTGTCTGCAACCATTTCAGGTGCTCAAAAAGAGAGCAGTGCAGAGAAGTGAAGATATTGAAGGCTCAACGAAAGGTCATTGACAGAAATTGCCAGTGTTAAAACTCCAGAGGTCCCACCTTTTACAATCTGCCGATACTCAGAGCCAGCCTCTCCTTGGAGCGGAAACTGGAGAATCGCTTCAGACTTACAACCTTCAGCCAAGCAAAGCCAACCTTGCAGAACAAGCCAAACCAAAATTCAGCAGCACCAAACCCAGAGACCTAAACCTACCAAACCTACCAAACCTACCAAACCTACCAAACCTACCAAACTCTTGCAGCCTTTCATTCCTTACAACTTTCCTAGCTGCAATGCATAACCAGTGAGGAACTGTATTGACTCTATACGAAGTCAAGCTTTAGTTACGACGCGTCGGCAGCACATTGTGAGCAATGTGTGCTGGCTCAGCCAAGGCGTGGACCTAGAAAGATTAGAAAGGAATCAAGAACATCCAAGAACAAAGTTGAACAAAGAATGTCTCATTTCGATTGAGAAAGTAAGAAGATCAAGAAGGTATATATAAATAGATATATGTATATATATATATAAATAGGTCATCCATGGAAATTATCCCGAAAATGGTGTGTTTGCCTTGTCTACGGTTGAAGAATATATATTTTATACAGAAACATACATCAGGTGCTTTGCTGACATTGTCTCGCTATCTTCACCAGCAACTAAAGTATGTGCTGCATTGTTCTTTGTATGTGATCCAATCTACATGAGGTTGTCATGTGGTTCTTTTTCTTCACCTTGAGCCCTAGGCTGGAAAGCGCAAGACCTTTCAGCCCAATGACATTGACCCTTCCTTGAAATTGGTGAGGCTGGGCAGCTTCATTTGTGGAGATCTTTCTCCAATGCGGTTTTGATTCCTGCTGATTCTGCTTGTCCTGGCTGTGAAACTTCAATGCGACATGGGTGTGGACCCCTGCTTCACAACTGATGGACGCATTTAATTTGTATTTTAGTAACTTTTTGTATTATTCTTTCCGACCAAGCAAAACCAGTGAAACCAGTCTTGTCTTCTGTAGGCCTTTCACAGTCACAGTCTCGTTCCTCGTTCCAGTTGTTGAGATTCGTCTCGGTCAGGTCAGCCTCTGCAAGCTTGGCAAAGCTCACTGGGCAGCCCCGCGCAGTCGCACGTGCTGCCCTGGATGCACTCAATGAGGCCGGGAAGACAGAGAAGGTAGCACTCAGGTAGCTAGATTCAGCTAGATTCAGCTAGATTCAGCTAGTTTTTATCAGACCTGACCAGCCTTGAATCATCCAGTGTATGTCAAAGTGCAGAACATATGAGACTGCAAGCCCATTTCGATATGCAACCAATACGTGGTCTCCACGTGTTTGACGTGGGCTTTGATGATTTTGATGTGAGGATGCAGACCAAGCTTGCCGTTTGCTGCTGAGCGGTCTGGCGCTGGCTCTGCTGGACACCTGTGAAGTGGAGGAGCTGAAGCCAGGAATTTATGCATACCTGGCCGCTTGCCGTGGAAAATCTGGGAAAACTTGCTTAGAAATGCTCGTTGACTTCAATTGACTTCAGAAACATCAACTTGACATGATAAGCCGAAGCAAGTTAAGCATTCCCCATCTTTGCGTGATAAACTCTGTAAACATCCACTGAAGTTCTACACATTTCAGCTGGTTTTTGAGACATGACAGCTGGCTCCTGGCGTGTTGATGAGACCTGTGGTGGCCTGTTCATGAACAAAGGCCGATGATGGAGAGAAAGAGACTGAGAGACCGAAGCTCCTGTCACAAGGCTTGGCGCAATTTGCAGTTGACAACATTTGCTACATGTCCCAGATGGATCCACATGGTGCTTCTCAGTTTTGAACTGTTGGCATTTTCACTTGCATATATAATATATATATATACACATTATATATAATACTGTATATCCATACACAAATGTATCTCTGATTGCGTATGATTATGTATGTATATGGAAAACAGTTGAAGTGATAGTCTGATGTCTGGTGATGCACAATTGATGCCAAGCCCCTGCAGGTGCTTTTGCTGGTTGCTTCCTCCTGCGCACTGACAAGTCTCGCAAGGAGTCCTATGGCGGTGTCGATGACGGCCTGTGAAACTGAGAAAACCCGGCAAACTGCACTGATTTTTCACAGGCATTCTCGTCACACGTAGAATGATCTAAGACTTGATGTAAGACACGATGGACTCTTTGCAACTGCTGCGCATGATTCTCTCCTGTTTCTTTCAGGGTGATGATAATCAGGCTGAGATGTGAGCTGCACAAGATGTCAGGAGCCCTTGCGGCTTTTTGCTTTGGAGCCTGTGGATGTTTGCCTCTTGTCGCAAGTGTCGCAAGTACCGCAGAATGAAGCGCACCCAGAGGGATGGGCAGAACTGGAATACACAGAAGCACCAGAGGTCGAAGGTTTCGGGAAGGACAGGGACGGGAGCGGTACACCAGAAGCATTTGGCAGCCGCCTGGCTCTAGAGACCCTACGCCACTCTATGGCACTCTAAATCACTCTATGTTACTCTACTCCGGAGCCTTTCAACGCAAGATTTGGACTGCCTCTCATGAAGCATCTCTCCTTTGAAACATCGATTGGAGACTGCTTTACTTTGATCATTTTCCCAAGACCTTTGAGTGGCACTATTCAGTTACCCGTCTTTCATCTCTTTTTGGATTTGGAGATGTGTAAGGGTCACTTGAATTTTGTGTGCGCAGGACGTGGTGATTCACTCGTGTTCCTTCGATCCTGGACTTGTGCAAGTACCACTTGAGGGGAACGAAATTGTTCTGGTTCGTGTCGCGACCTCAGAAAAAACATGACTAAGAACGGTCTAGAGTGGATCAGTCATCGGGGTAAGTATCTTCGTGACTTGCGTTAGACTCTAGGCGAATTTGAGACACAAGCATCAAGCAGAAGCATAATCAAAATCATTATCAATGCCATTGCGCGAACACAGTGTCACAAATTACCATCCACTTTCCCAGATGCGAACTTGTTTAATTGCCTTGAAAGTTGGGGTCAAGAGCTGAATTGTCAAGACAAAGTATTAAGCTATGAGTTTCTATTAGTTCCTATATGCAGAGATGATAAGGTCACAAAGGATGTACCAAAAAAATGCAAAGGTGGTATTATGTGGTATTTTTTTTCGGAAAGCAACCTGCAACCTCTTGGAGGTGGTAAAGAAGGCAGCTGTCGTGGCACCTCGAAACTCGCTGTCATCTCGCAGGCGAGAAGGAAACGGGATGAACAAGGGCGAAACGCAGGGAACAGTGTATCACATGGACGAGGACCAAGCTGAGAACCATACCCAGCATCACATAAAGTGCAGAAAGAGTTGGTTCAAAATCTTTCAGCATGGAGATGTGTCTAGATTGTCTAGATTAATCTACTACTGTAGATGCTCGAAAGGCTACTGCCGAATAATAATAGAACCACAAGAGGGACGCCAGTGACATTCTGGCACGATGCAGAAACGCCGGAGAAACGCGGGCAGTGACCAGAGTGACCACAGCAACCTGCGAGGCGACAAGCGCCTGACCAGCCTTCCAAGCGCTTATGCCTGGCCAAGCGGCCTCGCGTTCGCTACCAACGGCTGGAGCTCATCGGTACAGGCTGGGCATGGCTGGGAATGGCTGGGCATGGCTGGGCATGGCGCTACAAGCACGTACAGCGTAGCACATCCGCAAAAGTACTATACCTAATTATATCACGAAAGCTAGCTTGCTAGCTGGAGTTGGATTTGCTTTGACAATGAATTGGGGGCAGACTGGATGCAGCTTCCATGATCTTTCATGTAGCACTGGTTTTGCCCCCCCCCCCCGTTTGACGTGATTAATCATGTCGAATTGTGACCCCCCACCTACCCCCCGCCCCCACCGCCCCCCCCGTTCGCATGCCCACGCGCACAGTTGTGAATGTAGTGCAATGTAACGCAATGCAATCTAATCTAACCTGCAGTAATGTAATCTAATCTAAGCTAAAGTAGAAAATACTCGAATAACCCCTATGCCGTGTATGCATGTTCATACCACATAGTGGTCCCAAAACGGAGCCCACTATATTGTTGTTGCCTTTGACTGTAAAGTGTACATAATGTCAGGGTTTTTACAACGGGAATAGACTATTCAAATAGTTATCGACAATGATAACTCATTTCCTTAATCCTGTAATCCGGGGTTTTGGTCATCAAACCATTTACTTGGCCAACAACGTTTGGCTCAAGGTGCCCGCTAAAACAGGTGTTGTTGCTTAGTGTCACTGGCCATTGTTACATCTGTTGACTACTGCATCTTGAATACACGTGAATATTACTTCTGGTACAATCCCCGCATTCACTGGATTTACTGGAATTTTGTGGTTATCAGCCGTAGCCCGGCTTATTTCTGCAGTTGTGAGATCAATTGGGAGCTATTGAAAGACTGAACATATCGGCAAGAAATCTAAGACTTCAATTGCATAGATCACTGAATTGTTCTTTCATTGGCACCTTCAATCTTTCACTCGCGCTTGCGCGACAATTTTCCCATCCTTCGCCGCCATTGGCGCGACTGCATGTCTGATCATAGACGTGACCGTTCCCGATCAAGAGTTCGAACTCGTGGCAGACGAGGGGGCAGCCCGTGGAGGTCCAGCCAATTGAGCAGGTACAACCGCGGTGTGTCTTCAGCCATCGATTTTGCTACAGCAGAGGAACTTGGTCGGGCACCTCCGGAGCCACCTCAGCCACCACCACCGGCACCGGGTGCTAGGGGTGAGTGGAGGTGGGTTTGGGTCCCAGAGCAGGCTGACGTGAGGGACAGGCCTGCTGGTGATTCTGAGCCAACTTCGGCGTCTCGTCCTCGGTTGACATCTTCTTCAGTGGCACCAGTGCCAAGGCGTTCTGATCGATCTTCGGCGGAAACTCCGACAGGGGTGGAAGGCAGGAGCTCACGGGACTCGGCTGGTGTTGTGGAGGGACGTTCATCCAATCGGGCAGCAACATCACCTCGCGCAGAGCGCGAAAGGGAAGTTCCATCTCATCCAGCAACATCACCTCGCGCAGCGCGCGAAAGCGGCGATCCATCTCGATTGGTGACAACATCAACTCGCGCAGTGCGCGAAGGTGGAGATCGACCTCGACCGGCGGAAGCATCAGCTCGCGCTGTGCGCGAAGATCGAACTCGGCCGGCGGAGACATCAGCTCGCGCTGAGCGCGAAAGAGGGGTGAGGACATCTGGAACAGCTCGCGCAGAGCGCGATACAGCCTCAGCATCGACTCCAGTGACCACAAGGAGGACCATTCGAGTTCCGGCCAGGACATCATCGACGGCAGGGACCAGTGAAGTTTCTCGCACCGGGTCAAGGGGATCGTTGAGGCCTGCGGAGCCTAAGGCTGCTCCAAAGGCAACAGTGGTGGCCAAGGCAAAGGCCGAACCTCGTTCATCTCCAGATTCATCGGTGGCATCTACTCGCCCAGGAACTTCGGTTGAGCGACCGCTCATAGTTCTTGATTGGCATTGGACGCTGTCCTTTGAGTCTCAGAGTGGTGGATCCTACGTGCCCGAGAGGGTGAAGCAGACGCTTCGACGAGCTCAGTCATTGGGCTACGATCTTGGCATTTGCTCCTTCGCATCGGCGCCAGCCACTCAGTCCAGGGTGCTTCGTGAGGCACGTGATCTTGAGACTGAGTTGACACGAGCTTTCAGGTTCATCCACGTGGTCAACCGGAAGTTCACTTCGGATCCTGCCCGTGACAGGCCATCGCTCACGGGCTGTGCCACATCTAAGGCAGAAGAAGTCTGCCGTGTGGGGGCGGCCATTTTTGTGGACGACCAGCGCTCCCTCCTGCAGGAGGTGGAGCAACTTCAGGCTCGTCGAGCCGCTGGCAACAGGTGTCGGGTGTTGATCTCGCACGCCAATCGGCCATCGGCAGCTCTTGAGGAGCTCGACGATCTACTGGAGGAGGAGTCGGCTGCAGATTTCGGGTTGCCCAGCTTCTTGCGAAGCCTCTGGTGAAGGAGTGCAGGACATCTTGAGGAGTTGTTCATTGACTCATTTCTCAGCGGCGCAAGCGCAAGAGCAAGAGCAAGAGCAAGAACGAGGTTTCACTGCAATTGTTGCCAAGGAGTTTCACCGCAATTTTTGCTTGTTTCAAGTTTCACTGCAACATAGTTTCACCGCAACAGGTTGTTTCACTGCAAGCTTGGTGTTCGGCATTTTGCCCTCCTTCTCGCGCTTGCGCGATTTGTTGGAGAAGTTTGCACTGCCAGTTTTGCTCGCTGCCATCTGGCGCAATTTTGCATAGCTGATTGGCATTGACAAGTTCCCTGAATTTGAGTTCCCGTGCCAAAACATGAAGAGGGAGGTGCCGGCGACCCCATTCAAAGTGGACGGACCCAACAGTACATGGACTTCATCGACTGACTCCCCAGAGAAACTTGCAGAACAGCAATCTCAGCAAGCTGCAATGATGCACATTAGTGACCAACCTGCCAACCCGACTCAGGAGGCGATATCTTTGGCGAACAGGCTGAAGAGAGGACAGGGGTCAGCTGCGGCATCTGGTGGTTCAGCTCAATGGGGTGGAAGTTCAGCTTCGGGTCAACACGGTGTTCCCCCTAGTCTTCATCAGCACAATACCATCCAACAACATATGTATCAACAACAGGTCAACCAGATAGACCCTACACAGTTGGAACAATTGTTGGAATCACTGGTAAACGCAAAGGCAGAGGCAAACTATCAGCAACTCCGACAGCAAGCGCAACAAGAAGTTGAAAGCATCAGGCAACAGGCAGGAAACAATCACCAAATGTTGCAAGATCAGGTGTACCAAAAGTTGCAACAACTCAACCAAGAGAAACAGATGCTTGAGATGAGAGAGAGACAAACTCATCAACAGGCACAACAACGTTTTGAACAACTTCAACAAGAAGCCGTCAACCAGATTAAGAAGTTGTCCGAAGACAACATGAGGCTACAGGCAGAACTTGAGGATAGCCGCAAGTCGGCTGAGGGCCAAGTGAACTTCGTGAAGTTGCAGGCCGAATCTGAAAGACAGAGGGCTGTGGCGGAGCTCAAGGAACTTAGCTCCAAATTGGAGGTGATCATGACCCATCCTGAACGGGTAGGATCGACATCTGGGACGATGATGGGGTCACCTATTGGGAATCCTTTTGAACATCTACCCCAAGCTTACCAATCAGCCCAGCCAACTGAAATCATGTCAGCAGGTGCTAGTATTGCTAGTGCCAATCCTCTGGAAGTGATGTACTGTACATGTTGTGGATCACAGAATGTCATTGGACGACCGTCATGTTGGAGATGTTCAACATTACTGAGCACATTGACAGCCAAGAATGGCGCGGATTTGAATAGAATTCAGGATCATGGTTTTGACCCAGCACCATGTCCGCCTCCAAGTTTGGCACCATCCAGCTTCCGAGCATTGCAAGGTGTGGCAGCTAGCAGCGCGTCTATCGCAGCTGCGGCCGCGGCACCTATGGCGATCTCAGCAAGGTTTCCTGGAGGATGCGCGTCAAATGTCGCGCAGAGTGGGAACTTAGCTTCAGGGGGGCTGATGGCTCAGACTGGTTGTGGTCTTGGGGTTGGATCAAATGGTGGTACAACAAATCAATGGGGTGGTTTTGACCCAAATGGCCCCAGAATCCAAGCCGGGTACATTGTACCAGGTAGAGGACAACAAGGTGAGAAACCGAAACCTGCTGGACTTCAGGGCTCACAACATGGTGGGATTCCATCCTTTTCCATTCACACACCCAAGAACAGTTCACCAACAAATGGTTCGTCATCATCATCGAAGGACTCAAATGAGGATGGTTTTAATCAGGCTCCCAGAGATGGTTGGTTGTTGCCAGATGAAACTGATGAAAGTGTTTACAAGCACAAGCACCTCAAGTCCATTCAGATTACCAAGCTTCCCAACGACGCGACTTCGTGTCGCGAGTGGCGTGCGGCATTCTTGGCCGCAGTTAGCAGGGTTGACATGACGAACCGGGATGTGCTAGTGAAGTTTGCCACATGGTGCATGGAAGGTGGTCGAGGTAGACGGTTCCGAGATTATCTTCAGAGTTCGAATGACTTTTTGTTATTCAATAAACATGTGGCGGCCGAGCTGATTAAACCAGAGGTGTTGGCCACAAACTCAGAGCTAGCGCACGAACTCACGTCGTGGGTGGAATCATGTTCAGCGAAACAGCAGGGACCCAAAGGCATGGCTCTCATGCACATCATTATTGCCTTTTACGAAACAGGTCCGGACCAATCCATCGCTTTGAACCAAATGCATCTCTTACAGCTCCAATTGCAGGGAAAGACTGCGAAGGATCTTGCAGAGTTTGTGAAACGTGGAAACTACATTTTGCATGGATTACGCCCAGGAGATCGCCCTGCAGAGGCGACACTCTACAGCTGGCTATGGCATCAGGTGAAAGCCGTTCCGATGCTGAGGAGGTGCACTGACAAAATCAGAGAGTCCTCAAATGGATCCCGTAGGAGAACCTTTGGATGGTTATGGGGAAAGATTGCCGAAGAACTCCGTGAGAGGAGACATGACCTTAACTATGAAAACATGGGTCAGGGGTTGAAGTCATCCCCACCAGCTCAACTGGCT